GGTTGGGTTGGTCTGTGGAAGGTTCAGGGATGGTTGGGTTGGTCTGGAGGAGGTTGGGTTGGTCTGGAGGAGGTGGGGCTGCTCTGTGGAAGGTCTGGTGGGGTGGGGTGATGACGACCAGCGCTTTCTGAGCTGAAGAACCCCGAGGCAGCTCCACCTGACCTGCCCCCGCCCTCGGTGCCACCTTCCCCTCCGGCCCAGGCCAAGAACGCGCTGGCCCACGCGCTGCAGTCGGCCCGGCACGACGGGGACCTGCTGCGGGAGCAGTACGAGGAGGAGACCGAGGCCAAGGCCGAGCTCCAGCGCCTGCTCTCCAAGGCCAACTCCGAGGTGGCCCAGTGGAGGACCAAGTACGAGACGGACGCCATCCAGCGCACCGAGGAGCTGGAGGAGGCCAAGTGAGTCCCTTTAGCCCCTGGGGGGAGCCTCGGGGGGCTTGGGGGGGTGACCACCCACCAGAGGAGGTTCTGGAGGAGGTTCTGGAGGAGGCAGAGCACCCTGGAGATGGCAGAGGAGATGCAGAGCAGAACCCCGACCAGCAGCTGGGTGGGAGGGAGGAGGTCTGTGGTGGGATCCCAGGGGTGAGCCCAGGCTGTCCCCCCCCGGGGCAGGAAGAAGCTGGCCCAGCGGCTGCAGGAGGCCGAGGAGGCCGTGGAGGCCGTGAACGCCAAGTGCTCCTCGCTGGAGAAGACCAAGCACCGGCTGCAGAACGAGATCGAGGACCTGATGGCCGACGTGGAGCGCTCGAACGCGGCCGCCGCCGCCCTGGACAAGAAGCAGAGGAACTTCGACAAGGTGGGAGGGCGGGGGGGGGCTGGGGGGGACAGGGAGGGGACAGAGGGGGTGGGCAGGCAGTCAGGGGGTGACGGCAGGTCATCCCCAGGTGTTGTCCGAGTGGAAGCAGAAGTTCGAGGAGTCGCAGACGGAGCTGGAGGCGTCGCAGAAGGAGGCCCGGGCCCTCAGCACCGACCTCTTCAAGCTGAGGAACGTCTACGAGGAGTCTCTCGAGCACCTGGAGACCCTCAAGAGGGAGAACAAGAACCTCCAGGGTGAGGCCGCGGGTCCCTCTGCCCCCCACCCCAAATTCCCTCCCCCCCCCTCGTGGGGTCTGACGGGGCCTCCCCCGCACAGAGGAGATCTCAGACCTCACGGAGCAGCTCGGCGCCGGCCACAAGTCCATCCACGAGCTGGAGAAGGTCCGGAAGCAGCTGGACGCCGAGAAGCTGGAGCTCCAGGCCGCCCTGGAGGAGGCCGAGGTGGGCCAAGCCACGTCCCCTCCCTGTCCCCGCGTCCCCCCCGGGGGGGGCACCTTCATGCACCGTGGCCCTGAATGTCCCCTGCGTGTCCCCTCCATCCCCCAAGGCCTCCCTGGAGCACGAGGAGGGGAAGATCCTGCGGGCGCAGCTGGAGTTCAACCAGGTGAAGGCGGAGTACGAGCGCAAGCTGGGGGAGAAGGAGGAGGAGATGGAGCAGGTGAAGCGCAACCACCTGCGGGTGGTGGAGTCGCTGCAGACCTCGCTGGACGCCGAGACCCGGAGCCGCAACGAGGCCCTGAGGCTGAAGAAGAAGATGGAGGGAGACCTGAACGAGATGGAGATCCAGCTCAGCCACGCCAACCGCGGCGCCAACGAGGCCCAGAAGCAAGTCAAGGCTCTGCAGGGCTACCTGAAGGTACCCAGCCCAGGGGGCAGGGAGGTGTGGGAGGTACCTGAGGGTACCTGCCCCGTGGGGAGGGTGAGGGGCAGGAGGCTCCCTGACCCCCCAGGGGTGGCTGAGTGGGCTCGCCCCTACTCCCCTCTCCCCCAGGGGTGGTTGGGTTCCCTTTTCCCCGCGTCCTCACGGCTGGGTCAACCCACCACCCTTTCCCTTTCCCCACCACCCTTTCCCTTTCCCCACCACCCTTTCCCTTTCCCCACCACCCCTTCCCTTTCCCCACCACCCTCAAGGTCCCATGGGGGAGGTTGGGTGGGCCCCCCTTTCCCTCCCACCCCCCTGTCTGGACGGGCCCGTCACCCCCGCCGGCCGGGCTGCTCCCAGGACACGCAGCTGCAGCTGGACGAGGCAGGGAGGGCCGGGGAGGAGCTGAAGGAGAACGTGGCCATGGTGGAGCGCAGGAACGCGCTGCTGCAGTCGGAGCTGGAGGAGCTGCGGGCGCTGGTGGAGCAGACCGAGAGGGCGCGCAAATTGGCCGAGCAGGAGCTGATCGAGGCCAGCGAGAGGGTCCAGCTCCTCCACTCACAGGTGAGACCTCCCCCCCCTCTGCCTCCCAGAGAGGGGGCAGGGAGAAACAGAGACACTTGGTCGGTGTGGGGACCTCCAGGTGTGGCTCAAGGTGCTGCTGGCCCGGCTGTCCCACCTTCTCCTGAGGGTTGGGTCGGTCTGGAGGAGGTCGGGTTGGTCCGTAGAAGGTTCAGGGAAGGTCGGATCGGTCCACAGAAGGTTGGGGGCTTCTGTGTGGGTGCACCAAGACCCCAGAAGAAGATCCTTGAACCCTGCGGGGATCGGGGGAGTCTCCAAGGGCGGGGAGGGGCCAAGAGACGGGGCAGCAGCTCCAGGGCCGCCCCCTGAGCCGGTCCCTGCCGTCCCCCCCCAGAACACGAGCCTCATCAACCAGAAGAAGAAGATGGAGGGTGACATCTCGCAGCTGCAGGCGGAGGTGGAGGAGGCCGTGCAGGAGTGCCGGAACGCCGAGGACAAGGCCAAGAAGGCCATCACCGACGTGAGTGTGGCGGCCGGGGTGGGGCCCACGGGGGCGGCAGGGCACGAGCCACGGGGGGACCTCCCGATTGTCCCCACCCAGGCGGCCATGATGGCCGAGGAGCTGAAGAAGGAGCAGGACACGAGCGCCCACCTGGAGAGGATGAAGAAGAACATGGAGCAGACCATCAAGGACCTGCAGCTGCGCCTGGACGAGGCCGAGCAGCTGGCCCTGAAGGGCGGCAAGAAGCAGCTGCAGAAGCTGGAGCTGCGGGTCAGGGAGCTGGAGAACGAGCTGGAGAGCGAGCAGAAGAGGAACGCCGAGAGCGTCAAGGGGCTGCGCAAGTCCGAGAGGAGGGTCAAGGAGCTCAGCTACCAGGTGAGG